AATAATTTATTTATTACAAATCTTGATTAATGATGCCAAACATTTACCCTGGAGGCATTCCTGGCATTACAGGAGGCATTCCTGGCATCATTGGTGGCACACCTGGCATCATAGGGGGAATTCCTAAAACAAAGAGTTTCAATTTTAGAAAAGTTTGATGCTTGATGACATCTACTGTGAGAAACCCATGTTTAGATCTTAAAGGAGGAGTATGTAGAGCAGTGGATGGGAAACATGTCAAGAAGATGTGGCTCCACATCAGCAACATAAAGACAGATCTTTAGATCACGATGTTTATCAAGTAAAGACAAGAACAAACATGAATCTGTGTAATCAACCTTGGTAAACAGCACAACATCAGAACATCATTATTAAGGAGGAGCTCAATAGCTGAATTCCAAGTTTTCCACCTGAGTAGCTGCCTGGCGGTATTCCAGTCAGACCAGCGCCAGGAGGCATCCCGGGTTGGATTATAGGGGGCATGTAGCCCGTCTGCGTCTGACCTGCAGCAGGCGGCTGGAAGGAGGGACCAGGCTCTTCGTCATCATCATACTCATCAGAGTCATCCTGGTTCTGCTTTTTCTTCTGAGTCTCTGAAAATAGGGAGTAGCACAATCAGTCTGCAGAATAGACCATAACAGGAGGGAAATGAAAAACATCAATGATGATGATGAGTGAATTTTAAGTTTTGGGTGAACTATCCCTTTGAGGTTGTAACACCTTGGTTCTTTTGCTCCAGCACTCTTCTTCTCTCCTCCATGTCTTTCTCTGGAATTCCCTCCATGCCGTAGATTTCCAGTTCAATATCAGTCCTGCCAGGGATTGCATTAGGAACCCCATCAATGGTCTCTTTGTGCACCTGTGAGAGAAGTGAGGGGGATTTTAGCCTCTAAAACATGTTTTAAAATCGAGACAGTTCTCGTTCTCGTCGTCTCCTCACCTGCATGCAGTGGATCGCCAGCCCCGGGCCTGTGTACAGCTTCTTATGACAGATGTGACACTTGAAGTGTTTGGCCTTCTGATGCTGAATGAGAATCTTCTCATCGTCAAAGTCTCGGTTGCAGTACCTGACGTTAGTTTAGGAAGAACAAGCAAACATGGTGTCGTGTCACAGCAACACATCACCGGATGTCACGCACCGACGTTGTGTTGTTTTCTGTTATAACAACGTAATTTGACGGAGTAACGCAAAGTTTCTATTCACAGCCGGTTCTGCTCAAGCACACCAGTAAGTTCCACCTGTCATGGTGGCTGCGGTGAAGCTGCTGCAGGCTCAGGTTAGCTTGACGCTAACAACTCCTTCGGAGCAGCGGCAGTGACCGGAGCGAGTGACAGAAGGATACCAGCACCAAGGCTTCATCTGCTTTTTCTTCTTCCTCCCCATGGCTCCTGGACTTTCTGCTCAGCGCCCGCTCGCCCCGAAAAACAGCCGCTGACAGCAGCGACATCCACACAGAGCAGACCGTGAGGAGACACTGACGGAGCAAGATGGCGCCGCTCCATCCTCCCACCGAGGCCGCCAGAGCGCCCCCTACTGGTGACAGACTGCAAATACATTTTAAACAACTATAAATACATTTTAAACAACTATAAATACATTTTAAATAACTATAAATACATT